AGACAAGATGCTCCCCAGATGCCTCCTCCACTGGCTCTGCCGCATCCGTCTGTGGTCAGCAGAAGATGTCCACGTCACAATCCCCAGAACCTGTGAAGATGTCACATTGCATGGAAAAGGGGAACGGAGGTTGCAGATGGCATTAAGGCTGCCAAAACAGGGAGGTCATCTGGATCATCTGAGTGGGTCCAACATCGTCACAGAGGTGGGAGAAGGAGGAGGAGGGACAGTCAGAGGAGGTGTGTCTGAGATGTGGGGTCAGGGATATACTGCATGGCTGGCTGTGGAAAAGGAGGACAGGGCCACCAGCTGACGGATGCAGGCACCGTCTAGAAACTGGAAGAGGCAAGAAAATGGATTCTCCCCTGGAGCCTCGGAAGGAACCAGCCCCCGCCCTGACACACACACCTGGATCTAGTGCAGGGAGAAGGGTATGGAGCTTCTAACCTGCACGTAGTGTGATAAATGTGTGCTGTTCTAGGCCACTGAGTGTGTAGTGATTGGCTCCTGCAGCCACAGGAAACTCACGCTGTCTGATCTCCTCCCCACAGGGAGCTGCTCTGGGCTCCTTGGAGGGAGGGGAGGGATGGGGGAAGGGGGGGCCCTTGGAGGGAGGGGGAAGGATTGGGGAGGGGGTCCCTGGGAGCTGTTCTGGGCCTCTTGGAGGGAGGGGGCCCTGGGAGCTAGATTTGCACAACTGGGGCCTGGCAGGGGGACGTGACCCTCCTGGGCTGTTTCCTGATCTTCCCGGGCTCTGCTGTGGACCACTTCCTGCAGCCCTGCGATGCCATGAGGTGCATCCACCCACAGCCACTGTCCTCCCAGGTGTCCTGGTGCCCCAGTGGCTGCATCTGGCCCAGAGGAGCTGCCGCCTCCCTTTCCTGGTGAACTCCAGGGCACTGCAGATCCTTGGGCAGCCGCGCCTCTTTCCCTGTCAGCCACCCTGAGGCCGCTCAGGGACCCAGGAGTAGGCACGGCCCTCCTTGCGCCCCAACTCCAGGGCTCCCACCGAAGAAGCCGCTCTTGGCTTGAAGGAAGCTTGTCGCAGAGCTCCTCCCTCTCCAGAGGAATGTCTGCACAAATCCTCCCCTCGGGGCTCTTTCTCAGCCCTAACCAAGGCCACAGCCGGGCTAGAGGCCCAGACTCACAGACTTGGTTCTCGGACACCATTTAGAAACTGCATTTCTTCTGGTGCCTCATTTTGGTGCCATCACAGTGTCTCAGATGGAATGGAGTTAGGAGAAGTCCCATTTTAACACCATGTGGATGTTTTCATTCTGCTTTTTAAAAAACATTGCTGCAAAGCATTTACTTCTACGATTGCAGGTCACAAGAACAGAAACCGCTTTACTCGTGAGCCCCCAGCATCCCACCGCACATCATCACATTCATTCCAGGCAGGGGGAGCCGGGAGAGACCATCAACCTCAACGCGGAGAACGAGGGAGTCCGAGAGCGGATGGCCTGCTCAGGCCGGTGGCCGGTCAGCAGCCCACAGGGAGCCAGGCCTGCAGAGGAGCTGGGTGGTACCCAGCTCATCATCCTGCTCCTCCTTTCCGGGGCCGAGCCCCCTGGGCCTCATCACCTCTTGGGTGGTCTTGTCAGTGGGAAATTATGGATTTGACCTGGCCTTCATTATCATAAGGAAATTATCAGGAATGTGGAAAACACTTTTGGTCCACATACATCTGTAGGAGCAGTAGTTACAGTAGGACGAGCTGGAGATCCAACCGTCCAATGTGGAGAGGCTGAGGGAAGTCACTCAGAGAGCCTGCAAACTCGGCGAACGCCGGGTGTGTGGCGCTAAGTAGCATAGATCTTGTGTGAAGTGCTCTTGTCACACAAAAGGAGGGGACTGTTGTGGTGATGGTGAAGTTTGTGGTGACCGTTTCATGAGTGTTACTTACTTTCAAGCTCATCAAGGTATGTGCATTAAATGTGTACACTTTTTTTTGTGTTGGCCAATCTCAATTAAGAATAAAAAGAAACAAGAGCTTAGAAGGGCGTCCGTGGCATGAGCCCTGAAGGTCGACACGAGTGGAGGACGTGACACACCGCATCTCCACACTGAGCTGTGCTTTCAAAAACTTTCCTTCTATTTGTATATCTTCCAGATTCCTAGAGTGTTATATTTGGGAAAACAGGGTTTGAAGCACACAGAAAGCAGCCGTATTTTCCCAGACAAGCCCTGCAGTGGGTGGTAATTGACGAGGCCATTCTCCTGCCTCAGGGGAACTCCTGCACCAACTTTTAATGAGCTCCCAGTGAGGGCAGCTCAGACACCTGTGTGGCCGTGGCCCTGTAGTGGCCCTGGAGTCCCCCGTGTGGTGTGACAGTTGAGGTCAGAGCATGCTGTCTGGGGTCACCCTCTTACTGGCTGCCATGGTGCCCCTTTTCCCCGGGGCCTCGTCAGGACCTGCTCTGGCTGCCAGCCACTCCCAACGTGCTAATGGGGGAAACAGGCTGAGGGTAGGGGTCACACTCCCACCACTTCCCAGGACCCCCACCCCAGGCAGCAGAGTCCCTGCCACCCAGGCCCAGGCCCCGTGTGACTGTGCGCAGCCCTGCCCATGGCCATGAGCCCAACTCCACGTCCCCGAGCGGGCCCCACAGGTGTGCTCTGGAGCCCCTGGGCCAATGCTCACGGAGCCCAGAGGATGGGCTCTCAGATAAAGCCACCTGGCCGACAGCAGTTCCTCCCGTTTGTCACAGCTTCCTCCTGTCCACACTGGGCTGGGCGGGTCCCCACCTAGGGGAGCAGCCCAGGGGACACCAGGAAGGAAACAGCCGCAGGCTCAGCTCTTGCTGGAGCAGCATTTCTGGAAGGTTTGAGCAGGGTGAGAATGGGGGCAGCCTATCAACCTGTGGGGGGCATCATCACCCTGTTTACAAGGGGTAAGTGAGGCGCAGAGCACCTGCTGACAGCGCCAGCATGCAGTGGACAGCCGGATGGCGCCCTGGGGTGCTCTCACAGTGGGGGCTCGCAGTGCAGGACGCGGCCCCTGGAGACAGGCCCGGCTTGGGGCAGGCACACTTGGGTTGTAGGTGAAAAGTGACCTCTAGGCACTGCCCGAGGGCAGGAGGCCCCACTCGGGATGCTGGGCGCTGCCCCAGGACCACCCTAGGGCCCCTCCCCACTCCCAGGCCAGGCTCTTGTCAGCTGTGTAATCGGCAAGATGGTCCTGGCAGGCCTGAGCCCGAGGGAGGTGGGTGGAGGGCAGGAGTAACCTGAGTGTTGGAGGGGCGCCCCCCGGGCACAGGGCTCACCCTGCTGCTCCCTCTGTTGGTGGGCGGGCAGGCCGGGCGCTGTCCAGGGTGGGGAATCTCCCTCCCTACTCTGTATCAGATGCATTTGCTGCCTGGGCCAGGAGCTACACAGCCAGTGGCCTGGGGTCTGGGCTCCTGGCCAGCCTGTTAGCCAAGGGCCAGTGGGGCTTGGTGAAGACGCTGCCCTGAGGGAGGTGGGGCGGCAGGTGCTGCATGGCCACCATTTGAGACAAGGACTCAGCCTGAGGAGCAACAGCAGAGGCGCCACCCGCTTCCTTCTCCTGAGGTGCGGCTGGGGCAGACTCTACGCCCCTGCCCTGGCGTCTGCACCGAGCTGGGCCAGTGCTGGCCACTCCGAGCGACCAGTCAGGGTCACTGGGCAGAGCAGTCTTGCAGACCAGGGGCAAGGGCAGTGGTCTGAGGGACTGCACTCAGGTCCAGTGTTGCTGGACAGTCAGGCGCCTTGCTGGGCAACTGAAATCTGCCTCCCGTCCATTGCTGTGGACGTGCTGGAGCAGCAGAGGGTCCGGAGCAGCCAGTGACCCTCACACCCATTCCTCTTGCTGCGTCTCCAGGAGGTGGGCAGCAGACAGCAAGTGCTCAGTCAACGGGGGACCCTCATCAGCAAGTCAGAGAGTCAGCCGGCCAGAAGGTCATCCAGACCCCTTGGATGACTGACCCCCAACCACACTGAGTCCCCACGAGCTGACCTGCAGGTAGATTTCCCCACACCCCTCCCCCACGAAGAGCTGGGCACCTGGCAGGGGGAATCTCGCCATGATGGTGGGACCCCCTTTTAGTCCTGTCTTATCCTCTGAGTCTCAGGGGGTCCTTGCAAGATGGGGAGGATTCAGCAGGATCTGGGTGCTCTCATCACCCCCCCACACCACTGGCACTTGGGGGAGCAGGCCAGCTATCCTCATGTCCAGGGCAGGGAGGAACTGCTCATCAGCGGCAGCACCGGACGTTTGGGACAGAGAGGGCAGGCCGGGCCGAGGTTTCTTTTCCTTTGAGCCCTGCAGCCAAAATCTTTAACAGGGACAGTTTTCTAAAGGAGAGGCTTGTCCAGAGTCAGAGCTGAGAAAACAGCCCCCACCCTGGTCCGGACCCATCATCACAGGCAGGGCGGCTACCCCTGCAGCACCGCTTCCCATGGCTGCACTGGGGGCGCCTGGAGGCCCGGTGCAGCCGGGCTGGGGTCCGTGCCCCGTGGCTTTCAGTAGAGGGGGCAGGAGCAACCGGCCTCCAGGAGGCAGGGGAGGGTGGGGTATGACGGAGGGACCCGGGACGGGATGCTTTGTTGAAAGGACAGCTCCTTCCAGGAGGGCCCACCGTGGCCCCCTCCTGGGGCCTAGGGGTTGGGGGTCACTGGCCTTGTCTGCGCTGCCAAGACCCCCTGGGGAGTTCTGTTTCTGTCTGAACGCCGGCTGCGGGGTTGGGCAGCCATGAGAGACACCCCTCGCAGCCGGCGCAGGTGTCTTGGGGACGTGGCCACAGCGTGGGCTGTTTTGTTACTCATTGGGGCTGACAGACAGTTGCAGAGACTGCACTGTGGGGCTGGCAAGGGGATGCAGCCAAGGGACGCCTCAAGTCTGCTAGGAATAGGGGTGAGTGCTCCAGAGGGGCAGAGGGCTGGCCCAGGTAGTGTGTGTGTGCACGCACGTGTGAGCAGAGGCCCGTGAGTGTGTATGCTGTGCCCACGTGTGAGTGGGCACAGGCACGTGCGGTTTTGGCACGTGCGCACGGCAAGGGAGAGGAGGCGGGGATGGAAAACTGCGTGGGGTCGTGGGGGCCCCGGAGCGCGGTCTGCCTGAGCCGGTCCGGCGTCTGGACAATGTTCGGGCTTCGCCGGCCGGGCCCTTCCGACCTCACTGAGGCTGCTGGTTCTCGGCTCCATGTCCGTGGGATCGCCGTCCCCCTTGGCGCGGCCACCCCCTCAGACACTCATCGGGCGCCGTGGGCCCAGAGCAGCCAGCGCGAGGGTTGCAGGAAGGGACCGGGGAGGGTGTTGCTGAGGGGCTGAGTGCGCCTCCCACTACCCCCTCCCCTCGCGCCGCAGCCCCGCACTCTGGCGCCTGCCTTCGGGCTGCCTGTCTTCCCTGTGGGCGCCGCCCTCGCGCCCCGCCCTGTCTTGTCCCCGTCCCCCCAGCACCACCCCCACCTCCAGCCTCTGGACAGAGACAGCTGTTTGCGATTTCCCATTGCGGGGTGGCAGGGGTGGGGGGAGGGACGCCTGTCTGCCTCAGTTCCCAGCTGAGAAATATCCGGGGTGACAGCCCCACGGGCTACTTCTGGAGGTTGCCGTCCTGGGGGGGGCGGGGGCGGTTACCGGGCACAGTGATAAGAATGTTCTAGGAAATCAACCTGGTTTGTTGTAGGAAAATGCTACAAATAGGACCATACATAATTTCATTTGTGAAAACTCGACACTTTCTGTCCTCTCCCAGGCTTCTTGAGTCTGAGAATAAGGACCGCCCCCCCCCCCCCCCCAACTGCCAGGTGGGGAGCAACCGCTCACCAGCGCTCTGAGCCACTTCCCTTGTGGATCACTGTCCACTCGCTCCCACGGGGATGCTAGGCCTGGCTGGGGTCCTGGGATTCTCGGACAAGGTGAGTAGACCCCAAAGGGAGTGGGGAAGGGCCGGCCCCTACTTTCCTGAGCCCCCAGTGCGGGCCTCGGGTGGGAGGCCCCTCTTCCCGGCTGCTCCCACTCGGTGGTCTGTGTCTCCCAGGCTTCATGACTTGGGGCCGCGGCTGGAACCTCTCCGTGCAGGGGCCGTTTGTCCTGCTGGGCTTCCCGGGGCCGCGGGGACTACACGCGGGGCTCTTCCTGCTCTTCCTGGTCCTGTATGTGCTCACGGTGGCCGGGAACCTGGCCATCATGTCCCTGGTCGGCGCGCACAGGCGCCTTCAGACGCCCATGTACTTCTTCCTCTGCAACCTCTCCTTCCTGGAGATCTGGTTCACCACGGCCTGCGTGCCCAAGGCCCTGGCCACCTTCGCCTCGCAGAGCGGAGCCATCTCCTTCGCCGGCTGCGCTGCGCAGATGTACTTCGTCTTCTCGCTGGGCTGCACCGAGTACTTCCTGCTGGCGGTGATGGCCTTCGACCGCTACCTGGCCATCTGCTTGCCGCTGCGCTATGGCGTCATCATGACGCCAGGCCTCTCTGCCCGCCTCGCCCTGGGCGCCTGGCTGTGTGGCTTCTCCGCCATCGCTGTACCCGCAGCCCTCATCACCCGCCTCTCCTTCTGTGGCTCACGCGTCATAAACCACTTCTTCTGCGACATCGCACCCTGGATTGCGCTGGCTTGCAGCGACAGGCGGGTGGTGGAGCTGGTGTTCTTCGGCATCGCCTTCTGCGTCATCCTGGGCTCCTGCTTCATCACGCTCATCTCCTACACCTGCATCATCGCCACCATCGTCAGGATCCCCTCTGCCCAGGGCCGGCACAGGGCCTTCTCCACCTGCTCCTCCCACCTTACAGTGGTCCTCATCTGGTACGGCTCCACCATCTTCCTGCACGTGAGGACCTCGGTGGAGAGCTCGCTGGACCTGACCAAGGCAGTCACGGTGCTCAACACCGTCATCACCCCGGTGCTGAACCCGTTCATATACACCCTGAGGAACAAGGACGTCAAGGAGGCTCTGCGGAGGTGGGTGCAGGGAAATTGAGCTCCGAGCCGGCTCTGCGGGGCTTGGCCACCCGATTCTCCCGGCCAGGCCTCAGTTCTCGGCACCACTCTCTCTGCGTGGCTGGAAACGATGCCTGATATCACTGTGTGGACGGGCGGCCCCCAGCCTGGCCCCGCGGAGTTTCCATTCTTCTACAGGCCTTGCCAAACTGTACTCAGACCCTCAGGGTTCCAGGCGTGGATTCCGGAAGAGAAATGGGGACACATAGCCCCCAAGAAGCACCATACATACTGCAGACTCCCACAGCCCTCTGGGCCCCAGGCACTGGACAGCCCGTGAGCCCCAGACCTGGTGAGGTGTGGGCTGTCGTGCCCTTAGAACTCCTCCCCCGTCAACACCTCAGTGATGTGTCCTGAGTGGTCCCTCACTGGAGGCAGGGGTTGTTGGTGGCAGGGGTCGTTGGTAGGGGGAGGTTAACCATGGAGGTGAGAACTCAGAGAAAGATGTGAGTAGATGTCTTCGAGGAAGCCTGGCAGTGTGTGGGGCTGTTTGGGGTCAGTGTGTGGGTTTGCCTCTGTTCGGGGGGCCTCGGAGCACACCCACCAGATCTCTCCCCCTCCAGGGGCCTGGACTGCAGAACCTGTGGTGTCAGAGGGAGGGACTTGGTGTGGCCTCTGAGTGGGTCCTGCCCGCACCATCTGAGGGGTCTGAAACTTCTGTGAGAGGCCTGGTCCGTCCTGACTGTCATGTTTATTCTCGGAGCAGCGCACGTGGGGTTAGAAGCCCAGGCTCCGAAGCTGGGTGTCTGGATCCAGCCTTCTGCCAGCACGATGCTGGAACCTCTGGTCTTCACTGGTCTGTACATGGGGATCGTGACCGTGTGGTCTTGAGGCCTCTGAGCACTGAGTGAGGTAACTAACGCGTCTCCAGTGCTTAGCACAGGGCCTGACGGGAGCATGCGCTCCGGGCATGTTGTTGTACTATTATTTTCATGCTCAGCAGATAAAATAGTGCACAGGCTGTCCCCTTGCCTCCCTCCTGTCACTTCACACAGCGGTCAGACAGAACCGATGGATGCCGTGTCCTCGGCCCAGTGTCTACCCTGATTGCCCAGCCACCAGGGACCTCGATAGAACTGGAGCCTCTCCTGCAACCTGGACCAAGAATGAGGCGGCTGCCTGGACTTGGCAGGGCTGTGTGGCACTGAGTGAGTTTTGGTCACGAGTCAGCCAGGAGCTGTGGCCACCGTATCCATCCAGGTCTCCAGACCCAGCCCCACTTCTCACCCAGGGACAGACACGAGATAAGCCGATTAAGCCAGCCCAGTGTGGCAGTAGGCTGAACCCAGCACTGCCGTGCAGAGGGTCCGCAAGCCCAGCCTGCCTGGTGATGCTGGCCGTGCTCAAGAGGGGTCTGTGGGGCATCCTGGGGGGTTTTTGGAGCTCACTACAGCTGGAGCCTACAGGGTCCGGCCCCTCTGGTGGGTGTGCTGCCCCCTCAGTCTTGGCTCAAGCACCACGTCTTGAGTTCCTGGAAGAGCTGCCCTCACCAGCAGCCTTGCTGGCTCCCCTGTGCACTGTGAGGGTCTGACGCCCAGGTCCTCATCACCCTGTCCTGCTCTCTTCTCCAGAAGGAAGCCCCGCAGGGCAGGGGATGGTTTATTCTCTGCAGTGACCTGATGCCTAGATCAGGGCAGGCTCCCACAGGTGAACATCAGCCCAGAGGGTCAAGGAGCCATTTCCCACCAGTGGGAAGAAGTCGGGCTTCCTGGAGGCCCCCCTTTCCCGGAGCCAGAACAAGAAGACACATTTATGTCTCTTGGACTTGTACACTCAGTTATCTACAGCTAATGACAGTTGTGTCATCTTTGTGCTTTTGTGAAGTTATTTTCCAAATAATGAATTAAAGAGCATCCACTTTTAATGGGTTCATGTTTTGCTAAGCTGACAGGGTAAGTTATGAACACCCCACATTAGCATAGCTGTTTTGCTCACGGCCACACTTGAGCTCACAGCTCACAGTGACTTGGAGGACCTGGCGTGGGGCAGCGGAGGGAGGGAGGCGAGGGAGGGTCTGGTAACTTTATTGCTGTGGCCCCAGAGCCCAAAGAGGCTGACTGACTCCCTCGAGGCCACACCGAGGAGGCAGCACAGCCGAGCCCGCCTCAGTCCGCTGGCCTCTCAAGCGGAGGCTCTGCGTTCCCACCGACCCCTCACTCTAGGTTCCTCTCCTGGGAGATGGAGGCCAGTGCAGTGGGTGACCCCGAGGGCCCCTCTGCACCCCTTGGTCTCACGTCCTCAGCCTAGCGTGGAGGAGATCTCCCAAGGCTCCTCGACTCTGGGGGGTGGGCTCCGGCCCCTCCCTGCCCCCCTTAGTACAGGTTAGGGTCCCAGGGCAGCGGGCAGGCGTCCTTGTCTGTCCTGGCCCTGAGTGTGGCCTCAGGGCAGAGGTCGTCGCCCACGTAGACTTGACCTGACCAAGCCACCTCCGAATGCCTCGTGCCCCTGCGCACGTCAAGGGTTTTCCTGGGCTGAGGACCGAGCGCGCACAGCGGCCACAGCTCAGTTCCCTCCCGCCTCTCCGGGTCTGGAGGAAAACCGCGCGCGCTCTGGACACATTTTTTCCGCGCGCGTCGGGCTCCGCGGAGCGGGTCCTGGAGGACTCGAGCCCCTCTGCCGGGACCCGCCGCCTCCAGGCCACCGGCCGTGGGTGCCGCGGCCCTGGGCTTCCTCCCCCTTCTTCCCGAGGGAAGGCGAGTCCCACAGGGGACGTGGGGCCGCGCGTCTCAGGAGGCGCCTCTCCTCCCAGGGCAGGGCCGCGCGCGCCATGGGCTTCCCTTTTGGGAAGGCGGCCATTACTCGGTGTTGCTTCTGAGGTTTAGGAGTTAGGTCGTTTTTGAAAGCCGAAAGGGAAGGCCATCTACTTATCATTTAGTGTGAGTGCAGGATGCTGAGAACCGCAGCCGCCCCGGGACGCGGCGGGGGCGCGTCTTTGCGGACGCTGGGCCTGGGAGGAGGGAAGCCCTGTAGCGATTCCTTCCGGGGAGCGGGGCCCGGAGCCGGGTCTGCGGACCAGGGAGGCGGCCAGGGCGGGCGGCGTCCCCGTCTAGCTGTTGACCTCCCCAAGCCCCCGTTTCTCACGCGGGTGGGGCGAGGATCACCGTGTGTGAATATCTGAGAGGCGCCCGGGGTAGCGCTTGCCCCAAAGCGTTTTTCCTCCAAGGATCTCTGTGTAGATTTTGTGACTCAACAAGTCACGTGAAGACAAGGCCTCGGTGACCCGATGCTGGACGCGGATCTTCCTTTGTAAAGTTTGGGCTCTGAAACAGGCAATCCTAGAAAGAGCAGGGAAAAGCCACAAATTAGAGAGCTGGTACGTCACGCACCCTGCACCTGAGTGCTGCTGTCAGCCTGGGTCTTCTCGGGCTGAGCTGACTCACCGGCTGCTCCTTGGCATCGAGTGCTTGGCTCCTGCCGGCGCAGAATCCCAGGCCTGTGAGCCCCGCCCGTCCAGCTCCGGCGGTTTTCTGGGTCCTCAGTAAGTCAGTGAAGAACAAGACCTGGCACTGCCTGCTGTTTTCATACTTCTCTTTCTTGTTAGGTGAAAAAAGTTTTAATGGTGATGTTGACTTTATTATAAAGGCAGTTTTAGGTTTTGTGTGGAAAGTACGGAGAGTTCTCACCCAGCACATCGTCCCGTTTCTCCTTGTGAATATCTTGTGTTAGCGTGGCGTCCATTTGTTACAGCTGATGAAACAATTGTTAACTAAAGTCCGTCATTCACACTAGAGTCGCTCTGAGTGCTGTGCATTCTATGCGTTTTGACAAATGCGTGTGTCGTGTACCCCCCGCTACCGTGTCCCACAGAGCATCCACTGCCCTGACACCCCGCGTGCTCCACCTGCTCATCCTTCCTCCGGGCCTCGCGCAGCCCCTGGCAACCTGTCAGCTTTTTATTGTCTCTACAGTTTTGTCTTTTCCAAAATGTCATGTAGGTGGAAGCACACAGTGCTCAGCCTTTCACTAAGCAATGTGCATTCAAGCTCCCTCCGTGTCTTTTTGTGACTTGATAGCCATTTCTTTGTTATTACTGAATAATGTTCCATTGTCTGGGTGTCCCACACTTAATTTATCCATTCACTTATTGAGGTTACCAGGTTTTGGCAATTATAAATAAAGCTGCTATAATCATTTGTGTGCAGAATTTAAAAAATTTGAAATTTCTTTTCTTTTATTCTTTTTTTTATTGCAGTAACAGTGCTTCCTAGCATTATATAAATTTTGGGTGTACATCATTATACATTTCAATTTCTGTGTAGATTACAACATGTTCACCACCCAAAGACTAATTACAATCCATCACCACACACATGTGCCCAGTCACCCTTTTCACCCTTGCTCTTCCCCGCTTCCCCTCTGTGTGCAGGTTTCTGTGTGGAAATAAGTTTTCAGCTTATTTAGGTAAATAACTTGGAGTGTGATTGCTGGATCATATGGTAAGACCGTGTTTAATTTTGTAAGAAACTCCAAACTGTTCTCCAAAGCGGCTGCACCATTTTGCACTCCTGCCGGCGATGCATGAGTGCATGTTGCTCCCCATCTTCCCCAGCAGTTGGCATTGTCAATGTTTTGGATTTTAGTCCTACTATGTGTGTAGTGCTATCTCATGGTTGCTTTAATTTGCAGCCCTGAATAGTCACCTTGTCATATGCTTAGTTGCCATCTGTGTATCTTCTTTGGTGGGGCGTCTGTTCAGATCTTCCATTTTTAAAGTGGGCTGTCTGTTTTCTTATTGTTGAGTTTTAAGACTTCTTTGTGTGTTTTGGATGAAAGTTCTTTATCAGATATGTGTTTTGAAAATATTTTCTCCTAGTCTGTAGTTTGTTTTTCTCATTCTTTTAACTGTGTCTTTTGCAGAGCTGAAGTTTTTAGTTTTAATGAAATCCACTCGTTCAGCTTTGTATCTTATGGATTGTGCTTTTGGTGTTGTATCTGAAAAAGTCATCACCAAAGCCAAGGTCACCTCAATTTCCTCTTATGTTACCTCCTGGAAGTTTTATAGTTTTGCATTTTACATTTAGTTCTTGGATCTATTTTGAATTAATTTTTCAGCAAAAGGTGTAATGTCACTGTCTAGATTATTTGTTTTTGAATTTTTTTTGTTAAGGTTATGCTAGTTTGCAGCATTATGAAATTTCAGTTGTACATTATTATTTGTCAGTTACCTTATAGGTGCGTCCTTTCACCCTTTGTGCCCACCCCCACCCCCCTTCCGCCTGGTAACCTCTAAATAGTTCTCTTTGTCCATGTGTTTGTCTATCTTCCACAAATGAGTGGAATCGTACAGTGTTTGTCTTTCTCTATGTGGCTTATTTCTCTTAACATGATACCCTCAAGGTCCATCTATGTTGTTGCTAATGGGACGATTTTGTCATTTTTTATGGCTGAGTAGTATTCCATTGTGTGTGTGTGTGTGTGTGTGTGTGTGTGTGTGTATACCACATCTTCTTTACCCAGTCATCAGTCGATGGGCACTTCAGTTACTTCCACATCTTGACTATTGTGAATAATGCTGCAACGAACATAGGGGTGCATAAGTCTCTTTGAATTGTTTTCTTTTTTTCTTTGAATTGTTGATTTCAAGTTCTTTTGATAGATACCCAGTAGTGGGATAGCTTGGTCATATGGTATTTCTATTATTAGTTTTTTGAGAACTCTCCATACTGTTTTCCATAGTGCCTGAACCAGTTTGCATTCCCACCAGCAGTGTATGAGGGTTCCCTTTTCTCCACAGCCTTTCCAATATTTGTTATTTTTTGTCTTGGTGATTATAGCCATTCTAATGGATGTAAGGTGATATTTTAGTGTAGTTTCGATTTGTATTTCCCTTATGATCAGTGATGTTGAGCATCATTTCATGTGCCTCTTGGCCATCTGTATATGTTCTTTGGAGAAATGTCTGTTCACATCCTCTGCCCCCTTTTTTTTTTTTTTTTTTGAGGAAGATTAGCCCTGAGCTAACTACTGCCAGTCCTCCTCCTTTTCGCTGAGGAAGCCTGGAAGCCTGACCCTGAGCTAACATCCATGCCCATCTTCCTCTACTTTGTATGTGGGATGCCTACCCCAGCATGGCGTGCCAAGCAGTGCCATGTCTGCACCTGGGATCCAAACCCGCAAACCCTGGGCCGCCGAGAAGCGGAACGTGCGAACTTAACTGCTGCACTACCAGGCGGGTCCCCTCTGTCCATTTTTTGATCGAGTTGTTTGATTTGCTGTTGTTGAGTTGTGTGAGTTCTTTATATATTATGGAGATTAACCCTTTGTTGGATATATGATTTGCAAATATTTTTTCTCAGTTGGTGAGTTGTCTTTTCATTTCTGTCCTGGTTTCCCTTGCCTTATAGAAGCTCTTTAGTCGGATGAAGTCCCACTTGTTTATTTTTCCTTTTGTTTCCCTTGTCTGAGAAGACCTGGTATCTGAAAAGATCCTTTTAAGACTGATGTCAAAGAGTGTACTGCCTATATTTTCATCTAGAAGTTTTATGGTTTCAGGTCTTACCTTCAAGCCTTTGATCCATTTTGAGTTTATTTTTGTGTATGGTGTAAGAGAATGGTCTACTTTCATTCTTTTGCATGTGACTGTCCAGTTTTCCCAACATTGTTTGTAGAAGAGACTTTCTTTTCTCCATTGTATGTTCTCAACTCTTTTGTTGAAGATTAGCTGTCCATAGGTGTGTGGTTTTATTTCTGGGCTTTCAATTCTGTTCCATTGATCTATGTGTCTGTTTTTGTGCCAGTACCATGCTGTTTTGATTACTATAGCTTTCCAGTATATTTTGAAGTCAGGGATTGTGATGCCTCCAGCTTGTTCTTTTTCCTCAAGACTGCTTTAACAATTTAGAGTCTCTGGTTGCTCCATAAAAATTTTAGGATTCTTTGCTCTATTTCCA